CGGGTTTATACACTGCGAATATACGTGACGGCGACTGAGCACCGTTTGCGATCGGAGTAGGGAAGAGGAAAAAAAAGAAGTAGAACGACGAGTTTCCTCCGGGCGATGATAGTGGCAGTGGGAGGCAGGGGTGGCGAGACAGAGAGAGGGAGAGAGAGAGAGGGAGAGAGAGAAAGAGAGAGAAAGAGAGGGCGGACCTCCACCGAACAGTTAGGCGGCCCTGATGCTTGCTCGGGCTCCTTCGATCGGCGACGGTGGCCGCGGGGGCTCCATTTTCGACCGCACGACCGGTCGGCAGATCGAGATCTCCGTTTTCTCTCGGCCCGCCGACGCTCTTTGGCCCCTGACTCTCGGCCTCGGATCCGTATTTTTCCGCGCGATGCCGCGGATTGATTGCGCAGAAACAGTATTTCACGAAACAGGCCGCAACAATACGCGATGGAGTGGCCAATCTCTAACTTGGATAATTTCGAGCGAAAACAAAATGCGATTGGATTACGAGAGAGGCGGGCGAGATTATCTTTGCGAGGCAACGTTTCGCAAGCGCCTCTCCGTATCGCCGCATGAGAGAAAAATAACTTTTGATGATCCGAGCGCGTAATGCTTAACAGTGGCGGATTAAAATTAAGCAATCGCGCGCGTGCTGCGTCACGCGAGCGCTGGAAAGGATAAAAGGGGCTTGTCGTTCATCTCGACGCGATGTTCGTCGACGACTTCTTTTTGATCTGAGAGCCGGGTTTTGTAGCTCGCGCGGAATAGAAGTTGAACCGTATCGTGCGATCCGCCGTTGTGAGAAAAGTAGGATGGCTCTGCAAAACAGTTAGATGGCCCTGATGTTAGCAAATTACCGAGCCGGTCGTGCCTACATTCGCGTTCGCCGCCGATATTGTATACGGCTTTTCAGAACGTCTCGAACGTTTCACAACATTGTTCGGTGTGGGACGTGCCATTCTCGGTGCATTCAAAGCGGAGAACTTTCAAAAGTCGCTCGCTAATATTCTTTACATACGATCGGTCTAACGCTCGCAATCAGAATTGAAATCATCATTGTTCTTGAGACCTCAAGCCGACTCGACGCTCACGATCGGATCGAAATCGTCATTGAAATCATGTACATCTGTAATAACTTCATTGAATTGATGTCGCACGCGTTAACCGTAATTTCTTACACTTTTCTTCGCGCGACGCGAGAATTTATCGTCGTTCTCAGACGCGCGCGTTCTCTACTATCCTCCCGCTTTTCCGCATCTCAAGCGCTGCGCGAGCGAGCGAGCGAGAAATCGAGATCCTCGTTTCCTCCAGGCTCGTCGATCTTTGGCCTCCGCGCTCCGCCTTCGCTTCGTGCCGCTTCGAGAAGCGATTCTGATGCACGGCTTCAGATAGAGTTTCTAGGATACGGCTTGAAACTCGCCGTCTAGCATGCGCGCAAGCGAGACAGTGCGCCTCTCACATTTTAGAAACTGTATGGAAAATACTGAAATCAATTCTGTTGCGATAGTTTTTTATTTCATGAAACAATTTGAAAAATGTGTGAATTTTCGATGTAAAAATCGATGGTCGCTTTATAAAAGGAGCATTCGAGTGGCTTTTTTTAGCGCTGACATTTCCCACACGTGCGTGTTTCGAACCGTATTCCGATATTTTCTCAGGATCGCTAAAGCTGGCGAGGGCCTCTAATTTTATGTTTCTTGAAGAGAACGATTCGAGGAAGAAAGTTCCAAATTAGAAGCCCAAGCCGGCTGATTATATTGCGCGCTACGTGAAATGGCTGCCGCGAACGAACGACGTACATATGCCGCGTTTACGAGAGGTAACCCTCGTAAAGTGAAAAAGGGATCCGAACAGCGAGGAAAAAGAAGTCGCTCGTCTCGAAGAGCTCGATCGAGCCTTTTGCGGCGAGAAAACTGCCCTTGTCTCCTTCGCTGCGTCGAACGCGAACCTGTCTGGCCGTGCGTGCGTGCGCTCGAAACATCTCTTATGTCATCGCTCCCATAAGTCTTAACCCTTCTCTCTAGCTATAATTTCGAAATAGGACAAGGGGGAATCAGCCCCGTGAGATCGCGCGATTTGACTCGCTGAAGAATGCATAAATATTTTCTCCTAGCTCTTAATTAACCATTCTTCAGCGTACTTTATTCAATTCAACTAAATATTTCTTTTTTTCGTACAATTATTTTTTTTACACGCGATAGAATAACTCTAGATATTTGTGCAGAATTATATTATGTTAATTCGACTTTAATCCAGGCGCTTCAGAGTCGTAATCCTCGACAAAGTTTTTTTCTCCTTAAAAGATTAGCAGATTAATATTACATGTAAATTTTGAGAATCTCTCTCGCGTGTTCGTGGTCTTCGCTGCTCGAAACGGGGATTGACCGATCGTGTAGGAACTCGCGAACGGCAGTTTTCCGGGGGGTTCACGGATTTTCAAGCGAAACTCCACGACGGGCAGAATGCAGAACGCGCGCGGCCCGAACTCCGGCCCTATTGATTTTAGAGAACCTTCCGGCGAGACTGTCGGCTTACACCACCACCGTCGGCAATTCCACGCTCCCCTTCGCCCCTCGTCAAGTTTTCGAGAAGGGTCACCCCGTAATTTGAATATACGGCACCCTTCCGCGCGCGCAGCCCTCCCGGCCGATTGCACGTTCGGCATATTTCGCCCGCCATGCACGGCGCGTTCTCGTTCTCGCTCTCTTCGCGCTTGGAATACGCGGACGAGATATTTCGCCGTGGTAACATCGTTATACGGGGTGCCAAATCGCTTTTCCCGCAACAGCGCCGGAAAAGTGTTAAAATCGAAGAATTTGTTAATAAAAGAAATCTGTATACAATATTTTTATTCGTTGTCAAACTTGAATGTCAGGCTTGTATGTCACTGTTTGTGGCCTTTACAATATCGACGGTGTTGTTAAATAATCTCACTGTTGAGAAATCACGTAAGACGCGCGAAACCACAATTCGTAGACTCAGCGCTTTTGACGTCTTTTTTTTACGCGTCACAATAACTCACAGGCAAAGTACGCGAAAACGGAAGCGGTCGGTTATCGAGGTACATATCGCGACGGACGATAAAATAAAACGCTGTACATACAAACGTACGTTCGCGAATTAATCGGTTCTACGATCAGCGACATTCGGCCACCTTTGATCATTCGACGTAATATTTTCGTGTGTCAGCGACTTCCTTTGTAGACGGAAGCGTGGAGTTTCGCCGGTTCGTTGGTTCGTTCCAACAGTTAATGCGCTTAGAACTTAATTTATCGAATTTCGAGTGGGAGCTGTGCGGAGCTTTGCGCGCAGCACGAAGTTTACGTGTGCATTGCGCGAGCATGCGATTGCGCGATTTTTGTCCAGACACGCTCGCCGCGCGCCAGCCGTGAATTCTCCGACACGGGAAATCCGCGTGCGGTTCGCGCACTCGCGTCGCGGGGAACGGAAGCCGGGCCACGATAATCCGGGTTTATCGATTGGCACTCAGTTGCCAACTTGGCAGTGGCGAACTCCCGGAATTACGAATGAAATGCTCCACATAGCGACGCGGTTGGCAAATCAGATCCGCTTTCATACCTTTGCGAGGGAGGATGCGTCGGATTCCGGCTCACCTTCCGGCGAGGGCCGCAGACGGCTCGCATTTTCAGCGACGAAAATGCATCTCGTTTCTCCTAATGTGCTTTTCAGCATCCTTTGAAATCTCCAATCTGTGGTAATTTTTTTTTTTTTTTCGAACTGCGCAGCCCGTGTTTACTGCACGAGGAATTAAAATAAGAATAAAATGATTTTCCTCGCATCGACTATTTCTCATCCATTTCGCGATTGAAGCGTACCGAGAGGGTACGAAACTCGCACATCAAAGGGTTAAGGGGGAAATAGGGGTTCAGCGGGAACGGGGTCGGACTTTTTTCCCTGGCCAGCTCGTTGTTCGAGTTTCAGGGCTGAATCTAGGGTCGGACGAGGTGGTTTTCATGCTGCTAACCCCGTCGCTCGCGAGGCTCGTCGTGTAGTTGTATGTATTGTAGAGACGTACGCGCTTTCTAGCAGTCGGCATTAGTTCCCTGCTCGTTTGTTCCCTCGTTCAAGCTCATACTTGAAAACCCGTGGGGTCAGTGGTGCTCACTGCCAGACGTGGATTGACGCAATCAATTAAGAGCACGGTGAAACGAAACCCGGGCTTCGATTTTACGACCGTAAAACGAAAAGAAAATAAAGCGCTGCGCCCTGCCTTTGCATTAGGAATTTTACCTGCGAGTTTCTCGAGGTTGCGCGACATTGAATAATATTAGGTTACCGTATGACAAACTAGAGCCTATTCTTTCGTCGATAGAGCCAGTTTTAAAATATTGCAAACTTGAATTATTGGAAGAAATGTCCAGTAAGCTCGTGGTATGACCTCTTAAGGTTATTCTATTCGAAGTCAAGACGACTCAACGCTCCACCGAGTGTTTTGATTCAAAGACTTTACAGCAATTGTGATATACGGGATACCCCAAAACAAACGTTGTTATCGAAAGCGTGTCCGATACTTTTGAAACATCCTACGTACTTCAGACTCTTTCTATCGCTATTAGACACAATACACATACAAGACTGGTAATTTCATAATTGTAAAATATCAGAAAAGCGGCAGGAAATTGTAAACACTAGCCTGCCTTTGTTTGCATAGGGCGACCGCAAAAGCAACAATGTTGTTTTGCACGTACAACATTGTTGAATTATGTATAAATGATAAGCGGATAACGTTCGGTTCTCATAGCGAAGCGTGCGAGATTTCAATTTGCATCGCGATATTTTGCACAGTTCGGAATTAACGGTTGATTTGAGAGTCGCTGACACACGCAGACAGCCCGTATTCAGGACGCAGCTGCGAGCCCGCGCGCAAGCAACTGTGCGCAGCGTACGCGAGCGACGGTGGGCGCCGTTGGCGTCGGATTGGTCGCGCTCGCGAAACAGATCCCCCATCTGACGTCGTCCGAACAAAGAGACGAGGCTACCTCATCCGTCGTCGCGAGCGCTGCCATTAGAAAGTCGTCGGCAGTCAATGTGTGCGGAATCTCCGCGAGTCGGATAGAGAAAGAGAAAGAGAACTGTCCGTCGGTTCAGGTGTCGCGAGAAAGTCTGTCGATCTGAATTGGTTTTAGAGGGAGAGGAAGAGAAAGGAAGATATCCGAATATCGGTGAAAGAGATCTGGCCGATACGGCGAATCGATCGATCGAGCTCGGTCCTCGATCGGTGGTGTTGAATCGTGAGATTCCATCCGGTGAGACGGAGCGTGAAAAACGAACGGCCGCGTTCGATCCGCGTGCGGGAGAATTCGGCGTGAGTCGACGAGGCGAGTACACGGAACGAACCGTGCGAAGGAGAGGAGCGCCGGAGAAGCGACGCGCTTACGCTCGTACGAAGGATCGATCCCCGCCGTACACTTGTAACTGTGCGCGCTGGGACGCATCATCGCCGAGACGAGAATCCACGAGGGACGCTCCGGCGGTTAGCTGATCGCGCTGGAGGGTCGACGACGTACGCCGAGTGCTGTAGAGTGCTACGCAGCGACGTGGCGACGACGCCATTTTGTGGTGACTGGTACCGTGCGCTTCTTTCGGCATCAGCGCCGTCGACGAGCCTACTCATCGCCGCGCCGTGACCCGTGACACGCGCGTATCTTCCGATCGCGTTCGCCAGTGTGTTAAACGACGTGGAGCGCTTTGGCCTCCGGAGCCTGGGTCGCAAGAAGCAGCGAGAAAAAAATAAGAGAAAGAGAGAGAGAGAGAGGGAAAGAGAGAGACAGAAAGTGTTCGTGTATCCGAGCAACACGGAGTGCGCGTCATCGGCGTCGCTCCCGTCCGCGCAACTCATTTATCTCACCGCGAGTAAAGAGTTCCATTTTACTTCATTACCGTCGACGTCTTCGCCCTGGGTAACCAACGATGAGACTGGAAATTGTGTCGGCGGCGGATTTCCTGGTGCACCTGCTGCGCCTGCAGGCGGGACAGCTGTCGGAGCGGCAACTGGAGATGTTCAAGTCATCGTTGACGGAGGTGCTGCGCCACCGTTACCGGGACCACTGGTTTCCGGATCGGCCGAATCGCGGCTCCGGCTACCGTTGTATACGCATCAACGGTAAGATGGACCCGGTGATCGCGCAGGCCGGCGCGAACGTCGGCCTGCTGCCGACGGTGCTGCACAGCCTGTTCCCCAGCGAGCTCACCATGTGGATCGACCCGTCGGAGGTGTCGTACAGGATCGGCGAGAACGGCTCCATTTGCGTGCTGTACGAGCGCACCGAGCCCGAAAATCCGGAGGAGGTGTCGCAACAGCACCAGCAGCATCAACACCAGCACGCTCATCAGCATACGCAGCATCATCATACGCAGCAGCAGCAGCACCAGCAAGCGCCCACGACGCTGCCGTCGCAGCAGCAGCAACAGCAGCAGTTTGAGAGCTGCAAGGATTCCCTGCTTCTGGAGCACACGCAGTTCAGTGAGCAGATCGCCGCGTTTGTCTCCAGCTGAATCGCCGGGCTTGTCGTCGCTCGCGTCCACGCTCTCGAAATAATCTAATATTAATAATGAAAAAGGAAAAAAAAAAAGAAAGAAGCGCACGTGCATCTCGTGATATGTGATATCCCCCGCGTCTCGGCGTCGGACACCGAGCAGGTTCCGCCGCGCTCGACTTTTTCGTGGACTCCCCAAGGCGTGCGTGCGTCCTCCTTGCGTTTTTCTTTTCCCCCCTTCGGTTCCTTCCTTTTTTTCTTTTCGGCGTGCACTGTGAGTCTCGAGCCACGGTGATCTCGGCTCGCCTCGACGTCGCTCCGTGTCTCTTTCCTTCTCTCTCTCGTCCACCGCGAAAGCGGAGAGCTCCGGCGCGTCCATCCGCAAACTCATCGTCCCTCCTTCGAGCGAGTTCCTGCTAAACGGGGAGAGTCCATCCTTCGGGAACGCGAGCTCGTCCACGCGCGTCGGTCGACTCGAACGACTCTAGTCCAGTCTCGCGCTTCCCCGATCCTCCTCTCGCGCGCGAAGGATATCCCGAGGATGAGAAAGAGAGAAACCGCCTTCGGGAAGAGAAACTTCCGACTAGTCCGCGCGCGATTCGACAGAAACAACGGCGGAAAATGGAAGAACAACCGTGCAGAAGAGGAAGAGAGAAAGTGACTCGGGCTAGTCGATTCTCCTCGTTTCCGGAGGCGAATCCTTTTCGGATCGTTATCAGCCACCGCTTTACCGTCGGCGAGTCGTCGTAGGAAAAACGGAGCGAGCTCGAAGCTCTCTCAGCAGCCGACTAATTGATCTCAGCACCTCCTCCACCCGCGTAAAACCTCCGAGTATCTCCCGTGACAAGCAGCAGCCATGCGAGGGAGGAACAACGAAGACCAGCCAGCCTCATCGCCCCTGCGTACTACTACGTTCCCGAGGGAGTAAAGAATCCGTACTCGCACACATATTAACACACGAAAAAATACACATATACATAGGACTCATACATTCTTTCTGTCTCTTGCATCCCCTCGAATAACCAGCGTCTTTCTTCCACATACTTCGTCACGTCGGATTACGAGTTAAGGTTCGTACACGCCGACCGACGGGTGTTTACCGCGCGAGCGAACACTGTCGCCCTTTATTGAGTCATAAATAATTTTCCATCGTCAAATTTCTTGTATAACCAGCTTCGTCCCGACTTCCAAGTATTCGCATCACGCGTCGGTTGGGATACGATCTTAAGGTTGAGTAATGAAAATCGAACGTTCTCGTCGTCGAGGATTTTTCTCGAACCTCGCACTATCAATGCAGATTGATACCACCGAGCCACATAGGTACACACAAATACACAATAATACACATTACACAGAGGGACACGCATCGATGATCCCTCGATCGAAGAACAATCGCGATCGATCTCACATGGATTGTTGTAACGGGTGTCACGATCGTCAGTGTCGATTCATCAAATATGTCTTTAGTTAAATGTTTTTCACAAATATCTGTATAAACAGAAAGATATTGAGTACACAATTCGAGACTGTTTTGTGTAAACTCTGCGGAATTTATCGACTAATTTAGATTTTCTGGAAAAATCGAGTATATAGATATATATAAATCTCTTGAAGAATTGCGACGTTGACGCAACGAAAGTTCAAATTCAGCGTAGATCGGAGAGTTTTCGAGAGTGGTTGTCGGAAGTGAGAACCTTCTGGATTCTGACTAGCTCGACAACGATTCTCCACGGTAGAAATCTCAAAAGGAAGTTTTAATGTACACACACACATATACACACTCACTCACACACACATATACATACGATACACATATACACACGTACAAATTTCACGAAAGCGCGCGAGTTTTTATGTACATATATATATATATACATATATATATATATAATATATATAAGCGTTATGTATGTAGAGCACCGTGTACACGGGCGGGAGCGAGGGCGAAGCGAGAAGTCGCTCTGCACGTGTACACAATCGTCGAATTGTACATTATCATTTGCGTGAGAGGAGATGGAAGAAAGCGAGAAAAAACACGACAGTGTATAAAATTGCTGTGATTTTATCCACGGGAAGGAAGGGCACACGGGCGTGTTTATACAATGGAGAGTCGGTCTCGGAGAATGCGTGCATGTGCCTGTGACTGCGTGCATGTGCCAGATTGCATGGTGTATGATTGTAATGTTTTGGGAGTGATCGAGAATGATTTTGAGAGAGAGAGAGAGAGAGAGAGAGAGAGAGAGAGAGAGAGAGAGAGAGAGAGAGAGAGAGAGAGAGAGAGAGAGAGAGAGAGAGAGAGAGAGAAGAATGATTGGATGCGCGTGTATGACGCTCACTCGATGTATTCGCTCGCGCGCTCCAACAATAATAATCGAGTCCGCTCGATTAGTCACGTGTCCGTTTCGTGCTCTCGCGGCATCGAGATTTGTTCAATTACCGTTACTCGGCGAACCGAGTGTGCTCGCATAATAATGAGAAATCCGCGTTATCGAGCATTGCACTGTTGCAGTCTCCGATTCTACATAAATTTCAAACTAAATTCAATATTTCGTAAGACGTGGAAATTTTTGTCCGTTTTTTTTTTCGAGCACGTGAGAACGGACGGTGAGAGTTTACACGTGTAAGAACGAATGTGTGTGTGTGTGTGTGTGTGAATGTGTACGAATGGTCGCACTGCATGCGTGTGTGCGTGGGTGTATGCGAATGGTTGAACGGATGATGAAAGGTCGGGGAAAGAGAACCCATCGTGTTCGGCGTCGAACGAGAGAAGGCTCTGTACGTAGCAATTATAGAAACCATGTCTGTGATTATTACTAAGAATAGAGAGACAATATAAGCAATCTCCGTATGTAACGACCTAAACACGAGCGGCGTGTGCGCTTATTATACATACCGATATGTAAATGGTACATATATGTATTACGTATACAAGTGCGAGAATTTTACCCGCGGTTATCGGGGGCGCGCTTGGCGGTTTTCCATCGGGTCGTCACTTTTAGCTCTCGTGTCTCTGATATCATGCCGATGTGTTTTCCCTTTTATCGCGTATCTACACGTTAATTACGTTCGAAAATAAATAATATCCCGACAAAAGAAATCCGGCGTATCCGTTTACAAACATCATCACGGAAGCGGGTAGTGCAATCTATTTAAGTGTCGAACGACGACTCGTTTGAAAATCGCTGAACGCACTTGCGTTACGGCGGAAAGGCGATCATCGAACAAGCAAACAGAACCACATCCTCGCCTAACCTATAATAAACTCCTCGGGGCTCTGACGTCATGCGTAACAGGTCAAAGTAATTGGAGATCTTTATTATACACGTATATCAAGCGTCGCGTGTATTCATTAGCGCGTATGGAGTGAATCGATCGATCCAAAAAAAAAAAAAAATTATTTCGAATTGTTATCATGTGACGTCAGCGCCGGCGGAGAGCTGTGCGCTAAACACGGGTGTCGGCGAGGACAGTGGTGAAAAAGAAAATATTGTTTCCTTCATTTTACGTATCGGAGAATAAACACACGATTGATCCTCCGTATCGACGGCTGTTAGAGCACCAGTGATCTCCTGTCAAAAGTAGTGCGGGACGGGGCCGGAGAAAGTGTGAGAGCTGAGCGGGAGAGATTTCGCTGCCTCGTCCTTCGACGATTATTTTGCTGACGGCTTGACGACGAGACACGCGTTCCTTTCCCTTTGTTTTCGGTTTCCATCGCGGAGAACGCGGGTACGAAAAGGGCGCGCTCGTTTCGCGTGAACTGTCTTGTAATCCATGTTGTTCATCCGTTCCCACAAACACGCAGATAAAACTATAAATATCGACAAATGCTGAGAACGAAAGAGGGTGAAAGAGAGTGCGTTAGAAAGAATGAGAGAGAAAGAGAGAGAGAAAGAAAAACGGACAGAAAGCTAAGTGGGAGAATACGAGCATTTATTTCACGAATAAATTGTAATTACTATACATATATGCGCATATATTATATATATATACATAATTATATACATATATAAATGTATGTGTACATTTATACATCCTGTAATTATACATACATATATATATGTATATATATATATAGAGTGAGAGAGAAAAAGAGCGCGAGAGACCTTCAGGAAGAATTTGTACAAACCCGCTGGGATAAAGCACCAGCAAGTCTGTGATTTTAGCTTGGTTACTAATTCAGTATTTTTTTAAATAAAACGAGACAAAATCAAGATAAATCATAAAAAAAGGAGCATGATTCGGTCCGCGAGAGAATGTGTGTGAGAGAGAGAGAGGAGGGTTTGTGGAAGAAGGGAAGAGAAAGTTTATGAAAGAGAGAGCGTGTGTGTTTGTATGTGTGAGAAAAAAAGAGCGCGTGATGGAGAGGCAGGGGGGAAGGGAAATCTTAGAGTTAAAGGCTCGCAATAAAGTAGACAAATGTTCATGAATGTTCATGAATGTTCTGGAAGAAAAATTTCTCCGAGTGATTTCGCGCGACTTGCGTAAAGGAAAATACGGTGAACGAATCCCACTCATTTTACTATCGTTTTGCTTTCTTCCAAGAAAAACGTGCAATCACCGAGATTATAATTACTCGGGTCGCAACTGACGTGGCGACGTGCTCGAGCGGATGAAAGGAGCGTGACGTATCTCATGTCAAAAACACCAACGCAATAAGAAAACACAAGGGAGGTACTTCTCTGTCGCACAGAGGCCGGTGTCACTGACGTCAGTCTGCATTAATCGTAACCATCTCTTCTTTTTTTTGCCTCTATTATGTCTCTATTATTATCTAGTGACGCAATATAGCGAAGAATTAAATCAGTTTGAAGCGATTGGCGTTGGTGAAACCGGCTTTGTTTGTACCGAACAACGTGAGTAATAATCATAATTGTACTCCGGCTTGAAGTGCATCTCGTCGTTGTTACGGAATTATCCTCATTGCGTCAGCTCTAAATTTACGTTGTTAAAGAAAACGTGGTGAATCATAGTCGATAACGTTGCTCGATAATCCGAAATCCGTCTCGAAATTAACGATTGTCACGTTATAATCTCCAATCGCTTGTTATATGTTCACATTTTCTGGATTCTTCTTCCTCCTTGGCCGCACGTAAGAAAGAATAGAAATAGCGGGAGAAACGGAACTCGAGGGCCGGCTCTTCGCTGAGTGCTTTCCCTTTCTTTGGAGAGATCGGTTTTTTTTTTTTTCATTGTGCGCACGGGGATGAGTACGAGGAAGCAATAGATTCTCGGTGAAGTAAAATTGGTGATGCGGGAGTTGGCATTGAAGGGAGTAAGAAAAATTAAGAGGAGATGAGAATTAGCGAAAGAGAGCGAGAGAGTGTGTGTGTGAGAGAGAGCGAGAGCGTGATAGAGGCCGGGCAGGGGTGCTCAATTCGGTCAAGTTGGCCCGTGGGTCCCATGGTAATACAATTGTACATACAATTGATGACGAATTAATTATACGAATACTGATTAGTGAGCTCGTAGTGATTTCGTTTAGCGTATGTGAGACAACAGCGACCCAAGGTCTTTTGCGGAGTCCGAATTCGGCGGCCCTGTTGTGGATAGTGCACTGTTCGGAAAGAACGGAAAGAGAGAGCGCGAATAAATAAGAAGATCGATACGTTTCTGCGCGTTGACTGCGAGCGAGATGCCACTCGATGAATTCTGTATAAAATTCGCTTTACAAGTCTACACGCATGTCCACGAGTATACACACAACATTAACACGAACATGAATACACTTACATACGCGATACAAATACATACATATATACACACAAAACACACATACCCATACTCGAATCTGTAGACTCGTAGATTTACTATTAATTATAATGAATTATAATTATTATATCTATTATATCAATGTATAATTATATTTAGTTTTTAGGTTACGATGGCTCTTAGTTTGCTTGTACATATGCCGTGAAGCTCCAGTAAAAATTAAATCTTTAACAAAGAAAATCTATAATTTTTTCGACTGTTTTTGTACAGAGATAATAAAAACAAAAGGCCTCGTGCTTATGAAATTTCATGAATATAAAAAAAAAATACGTGTGTCGATCACTTCGCCATCCATCATCCTGATCGTCTTGCCGTTGCTTGCTATTTCTATAACAAAGCGGAAATACGAGAATTAGTACAAATTTATGTGTCAGCACAATCAGTCATAAATATTGTAAAAACGTTTCGAAAAGCACTTTAGAAAAGATAAAGCAATTTGAAATGAATTTCAACGTTTTCGAATTTGTCTCGCAGTCACGCGATGTTGATAGACTAAGTAATAAGCTTAACAAATATGTGGATACTTAAAAATGAAGCAACGCCGTTTGCCAATAACGATTGCAACGTTTCACAAAATTATTCGAGTCATTAGCGCGTCATATCTGTGTTTGCCAAATAAATTTCATCAAAACGACAATTTCGCAAGCGACATTTATTCAACAGACGGAAGACTGAATATTGTTGATTTATCGACGATCTCCCGATAAAACATGCCGATTTATGTCGCGCGATTTATTTTCTGCGAAAACATCTGCGACGCAACAAATAGCACGCAATTTTATTTTTTTATACGTGTCGACAAATGCGAGTGTATGCGAGAAACCGTGGAATACTTTTCAAAGTATGCGATTGTATTCTCTCAGCCTTCTCGATATAGTTATTCTCGGAATTGCCTCGATCGAGGTTCGTACGAACGCGCGCCTCTTGGAATCAAAATCGTATGCGTCATTCGGATCTTTATTGTTGCAAGGATACTATTACCAAACGTTCTGGAAACGTGTCGAGAGGAGTTCTCAAGATGATTACTCGTCGTTCGGTGGGTGGAAGAATAATTATATAATGAAGCATAAGAATTGCTCTCTGTCCACACTCGAGCAGACTCGAGCTATTTATGAAGAACAAACTCTGAAAAATCTCTCATGATTATCGACTTAATGAGATGACAATTGACGACATTTGACGGGAGTTTATCATCCCATTTAATTCGCATTGCACGAATATTCCCGTCCCGTGGAATTTCCATTATCAAAGTTAATCGAAAGGATAAATGTTCAAGCAATCGTCGAAATTACGGATAAAAAGAAACAATCTCGTAATCTCGAATTTGTTCTCCCGCTCAGTAAAATAGAACGGAAACAGGCAATGTACTCGAACTTTTATTCATTTTATTAATTAGGCCGTTGTTTTCGTATCTTTTTCAATTTCTCTTGCGCGGTGGGATTTAATTATAGAGCTTCTAGGCGCGTCCTGCGGATGAGCGTGTTAAGCCAACGTGCACCGCGCACGTTTCGCGATGAGAGGCTTAGCACGGACAAAATGAGAATTCAGCCATGAGGTTAATTGACGCTATCTACCTCGATGGGCTAATCGTCGATGGCCGACGTCTAATCGAGCCGAGTCGAGACTAATCCCGTGACGAGAGAAATATCGGGAGTTCGTACCGTCGCGATGTAACTATGGAAGAGAAAAAAAAATAGAATCGGATTGGCGGCAAATAAATTCGATATATGGTTTCTGCGGACCGAGCGCTTTCAAATTGCGAGGATCGAGCTGGATTTCCAGGAAGAGATAAGGATGAATTACAGACCTTGTGAAGCGAGAACGATAGTATCGGTATAATGCCAAGATCCAGGTTTTCCGCTTCGTGTCTTCACGATCTATCCGCGTCAATTATTACGAACAAGTGCGGACAGTTTCGCCGTCTCGATTCGCGTTTTTCACCAATCGGGACTGATTCTCCCCGGAAGTGTGTTTTACGGGGGTAGCGAAAGGTTAATGAATCTTCTAAAGGGCGCGCATTGTCGTTGTTGTCGTTGCAGCCGCGTTCTTCACGTTTGAACGATTTGGATTCAACAATCTGATCGAGCATTCTTATGTTTTCTCGGGGTCTCCTCTCTCTCTTTCTTTTTCTCTCGACGCGATGTAGGACAGATAGGAGGTTTCGCGCGAGCGGCGGAGAAGTCGGAGCGTGCGAAATGACGGCGAATTATTGTGCTCGAGGAAGAGGAGCCGTCGGAGTAGGGAATAGCCGCCGTCGCCGGCCACTGCAGCCGCCGATGATGGTTGTCGTGGAGGTCAACGTCGGTTGTTGCCCCGGCCCCCTGACGCCGCTTGGCCCGCTCGTCGGTTAGTGGCCCCCTTGGTGGGTTAGAATTGCTGATTCTGTTCAGCACACGAAGCTCCCTTCCTCTTCGACCCCACCCGTCCCGCTCCCTTCCCCTCCCCCTCCCTCCCTCTCGCTCCGTTTCTCTCCGTTCGTTCTCTCCCGCCCTGGGCATCCTCCTCTGTCAATCTCTTCCGTGCGACCTCTTCGCCGAGCTTCTCGTTCCTCGCCGTGACTGTGTATCGCACTTTGTTGCCTGCCAACTGCAACAGAGCCATTCGACAACGTTGCGTAATGCAAGACCACACGGCCACGAGCTGATCGAGCTGGATCCACGACGGTGAACGTCTTGCGTCTCTGAATAATCAGCGGAAGGACCATGGGACGAGGGGGAAGAGGACCGTGGTGGCGCGATCTTGAACATGCACACACGGACGGCGTTCTGAATATGTAAGCTATTACTTCGCGACTGATCTAAGCAGGCGCGAGCGGTGAGGCAACCTTTGTCTCTCTTTTGTTCCGACAAAGTACTAAAATCTCATCGATGGGACGAGAGTTTCCTTAAGCGAAGTGAACGGCGCGAACGACGCGGTAAAAGCCCTTTTTCTCCCGCATCCTCTCGTCATTAGCGAAGACTCTTGTTCTCGCTGTTTCGTTTATTTCAAAGGCGGAGTCTTAATTGCGCTTATCGATTGCCGCGGCGAAGGGAACAAGGTCCTCCTTTCTTGTCCGTCCGTCATCTCCGCCGTCTCCCTCCTCCCCGCTTTTCTCTTCTACTCGTTCAGTCACACGCCGCCTCGCCTCTTATCAACGAACAACGACGAGCCTCCGGCCGCCGCTTTTTTCCTTTCCCGCCGCATTTCTGCCTCGGGAGATGCAGCGCATTGTCCCGCGTCGAGTGCACTCCCGTTCGCAACGTCGTTCTTGCGCAACGTCGGAGAGCGTGCTTGGCAAATCGGCGAATTTCTGCCGCTTCAGACAGCAATCTTTTTCGCGGATTATTTGCTACACTAACGTTCGAGAATCTAATTTTAATAAATGTGTATATGCATATCTTTATATATCGCTCGCTGTAATTCCACGATCTATTTAGATAAATAATGCGCAATAGTTGAATCAGTCATTAGTGTCATCTTAAGGAGATTCGAAAATATTAAGCCCCTTTTAAATTCAAATATTAAGCTCTCTCTTAATAGCGGTAGCCTTGTTACGCACGGCGAAATTGGGAAGTTTTAATTACCTCGGCCGTACTTACGGGTTAATCGGTACGCGGAACACTGGCGGCTTTATAGTTCTCGGGAAGTTTGGTCCGCTTGCGGACATTAAACGCGGCGTTTCCAATTACGCCGGTGCATCTCGGCGCCTGTGTGTATGTGTGTGTACGTGCGTGTATTTGCGCGCGCACACATGCGTGCGAGTCTCCGTTGATCCGTACGTAGTTTCGCAAGCCCGACGACGACGGTCGTTAACCTTACGCGAAAATGGATAAGACGGTTCGGTTCTGGCACGGTCGCTCCGCTCGCATCTGTAGATGCGACCCGGCGCATACGAGCGCATAGTAGAATGCTATTAAAGATGCCCGCGATACGAAGTGTTATGCGGACGTCGCGCGTTTTCCGCCGAGCGCGGTTAACGCGGGTGAAATTAAGGAGAACGTGACTTGTTCCGATGGGACTTGTGTGAGGGAAAATTCAGCTGAGCAAACGCGGTTAGCGCGACTTACACGTCGCCACGCATTAATAACTAATCAGCACTTTACGGCGCATTGTGTTGTTTAAACTTTAACGTCGCGCTATGTGTGCGTTACGCCAGCCGCGGTCTCTCTACCGCTGAGTTACGACGGGGCACAGTGTATGTACAATAAAACCCGGCTTTATAACGAGATTATCACTGTGCGTGATGCGCTATTGTGCCTTTTCTAAGGCGGCACAGCGACGACAGCAGACAATTATCTTTTAAACGCGCGGCGACGGCTAGGCTAACGGTAAAGACGCATCCTATTATTTGCCAGTAAGAAAAAATCCTCTGCTCTGCTTCGGATGTGAATTACATCTTGCCCCAGTTTAAAGCCGGCAGTCTCCCTCGCAACGCGTGACAGCGTTCTCGTTAGCATTCATGAAGTAAAAGATTTATAGCAAAATATACAGCGACGAATAAGTGGGATATAGCGTTCCATATTAAATCTCGAAACGCGGTTACGTCGTCATAACTTTTGCCAATCATCACCGCGCGCGGACTGTTATTACTTATTTCTTGCGGCGCACTTCGTTCCGCGATCGGTGTATCATTAAATGATTTGCGATAATCACGCAATCATCGACATGCGTATCGATTCTCAATGAGGTATGGTAATTTTGCGAAAGGCATCTTGACTAGTTTACAAATGTCGGCGATATCCATATTCTGAAATTATGACATTAGAAATGAGAAATTCAATGCGTAATCTCCGACCAATAAAATTATACTTAAATATAAAAGAATCTATTTTGAAAAAAGATTGTCTCATGTTTTATCGATGAAAGTGCCATGAAGCAATCTTTGTCAACAGTTTTATCAATAAAATATTTCATACAACACGAAGTATTTTAAAATGTGGCAGGAAAAGTTTTAGAAACATGGAGATATTGTCACAATATTTCCAACGCGTTTCCCGCGCCGCGTGAGATCATCGGTTCGCGAAGTGAAGAGGAAAATTTTATCTCACTTTCTCACTTCTGACGTCATAATAATTTTTGGGCTCTCGACGCTTTTAATTTGCATTTTTTTTATGCCGGCACGCTCATTAGCGACGCTTTCAGTAGTTTTGCGCGTTCGCGGTTCTTTTTATTGCCGGCATAAATGACTTCATTCGCATGAGTCATCGTTTCGCGACTAGGAACATGCCATAAACGGACTACGCGGTCGTACTTGCTGGTTAAAACGCGCGACGTAGAATCATGATTTCGCGAGTTCTCGAAGCGCGACTGATCGGCGCCGGTATGTTGGGGGTGTCGTTTTCCGAGCACGGATGGTTATTCGAATACTTCAGACCCTACGGAATCGTCAGGTTTGGAATTTAAGTGTCCAATTACACAAAAACCATTTTACGAGCGTATTTTTACATCACTGCTCGAGTCCAGACGAGTCTATAAAGTTCATGTTGTTTACCACGAGGGTTGTAATCACATGTCGTGGTTACAACATTATATATTAGAAAAGTTCTACGAGCATATTATTCGTCAGTAATCTGAAAACTTTGGAAATTTATCACTTTTATATTTTTATAAACCAATTAATATATTTATCTTTTTATCGATTTTTTGATTTTTCCAAAAGAAAATATTTCGTGATCGATTGAATTGTTGCTTACGATTGAAAGGTACGATTGAAAGGTACTTATTCATTAGCATGTAAATGCGATCATTATATTGTACGATGAGTAATGGCGTGAAATTTAACAGCTCTCGGTATTGCTTTGCACAAGGTTTCTGATAACGACAAATGATATTGTTCTCTTTATGAGTATTAATGGAATTCAATGCCATTCTTATATAAATAAGTCAATCATAATTCTTTTTATTGCGGGACACACAATAATCGTATAATATATCTGTTGAAAATATAATATTCAACGTTTGCCATGCGGACGCGCAACGTTTCTTGCAATTACGTGGTCATTGGCAGCGAATAATTGCGTCATCAAGAAGACAGAAAGGCTTCGAACGTGTCTGAAGGCGAGGCGGTTTCCAGTGTGAGAAATTCGTACTCCTGAATAAGGAGCTTATGTAAGCAGCGGCAAACAGCGCAAACGGCGGCACCGCGCGCGCGCTTATTTTGCACAAATACGTTTCGTAAATATAAGGCGAGAGAAAGTGTTGTCTCGGCTAACTCTTTCGTTAGCATTGTGCGTGTGTGATGACGCGTCATCGGGAACTTTAGCCACGAGCGAGCCCGCGCTACATTACCAACTTGCGTCAAAGAATGAAGAATAAATCGCACGTTCGCACTGCGCAATTTATCTTTGGCGCGAAATTTAGCAACAAAAATGTATTTTTCATGCTTTATGTTGATTCAAGACTCCACTTCCATCCGCCGTAGATCAGAAGTTCATCCTGCTAGGGTTAAGGCCAAAAATCCGAGACAGGATAGTTTTTTTTCGCAAATCAACGGTGATCGCGATCTCCGTCGCATTGCGAAAGTCTAAACGCGTCGCGCGATCGCGCAACTCGATACTGGATCGAAATCAACCGCTATTTGAATTTCCATGACTGCGTGATATGAAATGCCTTTGCTCGACTTTCACCGGCTACCGGAGGTGAGCGATTTTTCTCTTCGGATCGCCGTTGCTACCGGATGACAAAGTCGAGCTCGATGAAATGTCACGGCTGCGAAAATCTTGACCGACTTGGTATTCCGCGTGATCGCGCGACACGCGCGTTACGTCAGCAGGAATATGCATGTAATAAAGATATCGAATTGCAATGCAACAATCTTTCTAATTTGTCTTTTGAGGCCTTGAATTCTGTGCAATTTTGAGTCCCAAAAATTTAAAATATGTCGAGGTTATTTTTGATACAGTATCGCGGATTCTAGAAATGTCAACAAACCTTCAAGACATTTGCAGACATTTGCAAGTCACATATTTGTATTACAATTTCCGATACTTTTTTTCGCACTCCTGTCTCTTCAAGAAACATGATAAAATCATCTCTTCCAAATGTTTAACTGATCAGAACTATTTTCGAAAAATAAGTTGCCTTTTTCTAAAACGGATATTCACTTAAAAAGAAAATCAAATCTGATTTGTTGCTCCACGAAGCAAGAATATCGTGCTGAGCAATAATTCATGTTGATCGGGTCAGTCAAGATTACGCTGTCATTTCAGTGATACAGCAATATCGCCGTAATAAATATTTCAAAAGGATAAAACAAAAAGAAAAAAATCAGTCAAGTTTTCAACAAGACTATATAGAGAACGCTATCTAACTATTTTCTTCTGACATTTATTTATCTGCTTGCAGATTCGACGATGGAAGGATATCAATCGAAACCCATCGCGCTCGATTCCAAGATGAGTGATCCATCCCGCACGGCTCTCGCGATAGAAGACACGGTTTACAGAGGGGAAGGCAATGCCAATATCGTCATTGCGCTGCCACAGGTGAGTCAATAATTGCATATTCTTGTATATTATCAGTATATTTTTCTACAGCGTGACTAAGCGCATCTCTACATTGTTAGAAATTTACAAACAATTTACTTTTACAAACTTATTTATGCTTAACTGAAACGTCTGAATTAAATGGAGCTAAGAAATCTCGGCATTTATTCCTCCTCTCTCTTTCTCTCTCTCTCTCTCTCTTTCTCGTTTCTTCGCAGTCCTCTTTCACGCTTCGCGAACTTCGCCGATGGGCCCTCGAGAGAACTATTCCCTTGAAGATCTCCGCAATTCCGGCTGACAATGAATAAGACAAAGCCTGGATAAACTCGGTTTCCATTTTGCTCTCGCGGATCCCGCCGTATCGCGACGTCTGGCCTCTTCCTGATCCTATTACCGAACTCTTCCCGCTCGCAACTTCGTCAGTCGATTCTCTCTAACGTTCCCGGCATCGTCGTTGATCTACGACTCGTCGCCGTCTGTTGATTGCGACGGTAGCAAGAAGTTCTTCCTTCGTAATCTCAGCGGAAGCGTCTTTAAATCTTTTAATGTTTTTTTCCCGAACTGCACGAACGGAAGTGTAAACGCTCTGTGTTTTGCTTGAAGATGCTTCGGTAATTTACACGCTCCTAAGTAGATCAATTTTCTCGGAAAGCTGTACGAGTGTACATAAAGGGTCAAAGAAAAACGGAGAAGCCTGTATCTATTGCGACTGCTAAACGCTATCTGCATGCGAATAGCGAATGACCTTTAGGATGTAAATACGTAAAAACATGTGAATGGCTCTAGACAACATGGATATGTAAAAATATCTTGCTTTTAACAACGCAAATGCGTTTTTTTTTCTTCTGCCTTATCAAGCCGCGAGCGGATCTTTATGAATTTTAACGACACGGCTTACCCATTGTATGTATAATATTCCTACACGTTTTTATCTGTGCTTATAAAAAAACGAAATAAGGCGCGCGTCGATACGTTGTTTTTTCCAATATTTTTCTTACGTCAAGCGTCATTGACGTTTCCTTGGATCGAGATAAAGGCGAGATACAATCCCGCAGATATAATATAATGCATAATAATAAAGGTGTTGGATGCGAAAGAGGAAAAAAAGAGACGTTTTGAGTGACGATAATCGATCGTACGAGTTTGTCTCTCTTGTCAACAGATAAGGACGCGCGCAATTTCTTACGAAGTTTACGCACTCCCACGGAGTTATCGTGCGATAACAATTTTGCAAGAAAAACGGCCTTGAGTACGATTCGAGGAAAAATACACGGACGCGTCGTTATTAACACGTTTGTTGTTAACAACGTAATCATCGCAAAAAAAAGAAGCAATTGAGATTCTCGCGATTGTGCAATTGCGTCATACTTGCAAACATCTGCGTCGGAAAATCCGTCTCAATTCGGCGGAGATATCCGCGGATGATGAGAAAAACAGCTCGCGGTGTACGCGAGGTACCGTAACTTTTACACCCACGTGGGAATCTCTCTGGCGCGCCCTGTAATTAACGAATAGCTAATGATCGTGTGACTAATTGATAACTGCACATTACAGCAATCTATATGAGGCGATTGTATATATTCGCGCGGCTCGGCCGACCTCGCGGGCGCAGCGTATTTTTTCGCGCCGCGGACAAACGATCCGCATAAATAATTTCGTTTAATTGCCGGCCGCGCTCTCTTATCTCCGCCGTTTATTTATGCGAGACGCGTACGTACCATCGCGCGCGTCCTGTCTCATTCTGTCACCTCGCGTCGCAGGAAATGAATTTTTTTTCCACTTCGCGCATCTCCTCGAGGGATCGATACGGTCGGATCACGAACGTGCCGCTTCTGCCCGATGGCATCGTCGACTTTATCGCGGATCGATGATAATTGCACGTGTTCTGGGTATATATGTGTGTTTGTATAGCGCGCTACGCCCAACTTCCACGGCTTGAACTAGATTATCGTTACCGTATGTTGCGCGATGGACGCGCCTGTAAAATCTTCTGAAAAGTTACGATCTCGATATGAAAAGGGGCGGTGTATAGAAAGTGCTTGACGTATCTGTAGGTTGATTACGTCCGGAGATTTTTTGATACCAGAAATTAATCTAGGCCAAGTAGGAAATTTCGAATTTTTCAGAGAGCTATTTTTATTCTTATCAATTTTTTCATATAGACTCTCCAGGCAGATTCGAGAAGTGCTCGAATAACATTGATAACGCTCGAGGTGTTATTAAAAAAACTCATCAAAAATATATTGCGCATCTGTGGATTTCGATTGCGAAAATCACGATTCGTCCGGAGATTTGTACAGATTTTTTTTGACACTGGAGATTAATCCAAGCTAAGTAGAAAATTTGGGAATCTTTTTCGAGAGCGGCCATTTTGATTTTTATCATATTTTTTTCATACGGACTTCCCAAGCAGACCCGACGAGAAGTATGCTCGCGTAACATTGATAACGCTCGAGTTATTATTATGCGATTTCTCCTATTGTACGGAGCGGCGACAAACGATGCTCCGTCTCGTATTATGCAGTTACCGTGCACGTCGATAACAGCAAAGTGCGCACATATATACCGCGTAGCATAACCAGACCTCCGCCGTCGTTTCGCGTCGCCGACCGTCGTCTCGTTGTGCTCGTCGAGAGTTTGTCGAACCTGCCATACGATCGCTCGTGGTAACAGCTCCCGGCCGGTGGTTGACAGCGCGGATGAGAGAATAAAAGGGAATAGATTGAGCCTGTACTTACAGTGCCGATACTTGACCCACGAAATTTCCAAAGTATCGACAGACAATATCGGGAAAAGTATCGGTGTGCCGGTTACGCCGGTGTCGGAGCTATTTCAAAGCGAATGTGACTGCTCGGTTAAATACGCATAAGCATCGCTAATCGCGAACTCGTCCGGCCGAGCGGTCGCACGTTACTCGACTTCTCTCTCTTTTTCTCCGTCTTCTTTTTCTCCCCTTGCGCTTTTCTCGTCACGTATTTCCTCTTCCACGTAGCGACCTTAACCCGCGCGCGTTTAGTCATCCCCGTCGGGATTTATAATTTTATTACATGACTCGGCTGCATCGATTCTCAGACTATCGGCCGGCGGAGAGGAATGACGGCCGAAGAGATTTTCGAATGAAAAGATTTTCGAGCGTCGCTTCAATACTCGACTTTAGCCGTCGAAAAAAAAACTCAGCATCCTGTTTGCGAGTGAAAGTGTAGGATGTCTTTTTTTCTTTTTATCCTCGCAGTTTCGCTCGTTTTATGTTCAAGAAGAAGTTGAGAAACTTTTTAATTCTCCGTTGAAGAATTGTGAGACAAGAATATTAAATTGAGAGTTAAATCAATTTTAATTATCAATCGAAGAATGAAAAATAAATTCGTTTTTTTCATCAAAGTTTGAAACTCGTTTTGCCTCGGTGTTTATCGATATCTCGATAAGGCCTTTCGTCTCTGCGGTTCAGACAAAGAGAAAAAGAGAGGGAGAAATCAGTTGAAACTTTTCAAATACGTTCTCTCATTGATCGCCGTCTGAGCGCGTTGGGCCGGGCGGAGAAATAAATTAAGTTATTAACCGCGACACCAGCTGCGGGAACGAAACGTTGTTACCCAATGATATACACTCGTACGCGTTTCGTTATCTTCTCGCGCATACACGCCTTGCGTTTATCGACTCCGAGCTTTACGACGACTTTAACGAGTCCGTGCGGCTCGCCTGAACCGTTCGTTCTTCTTCTGATTTAACCCGGCGCAATGTAGTAACCCGGTTTCCTGGCGATTACGCTCTGCTCGATACTGAGTATAGTACGCGTTCGACCAGCTCAACTAATCATACGGGATCTTTCCTCCGCGCGCAACGTGCCTTGCTGAATTATACGCGTGACAAATCGCGAAATTTTTAATAGAAAATACATTATTTTCTAACGCTATCGATAGACGCGTACAAAATTTCTGTGAAAAATATATTTTAACGATAATTATGCAAATGGCACGCACATTTAATCGCGACATTAGGGACGTCGGAAACTTGTCACTTCGTTATCAGAAAGCAGGAGTCTGAGTTAGACGTCGGTAAACCGCAAGTGCCGAACTTGACGATCACGCGATGCGCAACTTCGATATAACATTATCTTCCCGACGCGGTTGTTGCGCGTTGCGATGCATCTCGGCAGATTTTATGATTGCAGGCATTACGCTATTCTCTAAGTGCATGCCGATAGCGATGTCTCATTGGCGGTTACGCACAGCGCCAATGATACGTCGAGCTGTACGGCGCGGGGGCCGCGGCGGCCGCGGCGTTATTACAATCGCTGTTTGTTTCGCGGAACGCTTCGTTATTTTCTGCCCGCGCGTATGCAATATCGTCAGACCTTCGCGGCAGTCTCTAATCAAGCATAAATTGCAGTCTGGCGCTGCATGCGTACGGCGAATTATCATCGTCACGCCATTAACAGCAGAGCAAATAGACGGGAGATTATTTAATTCTTAATCGAGGCTTACCGTCGTCGACAAAAAGAGGATCGGGCGGGACGATTTCTTATTTGATGTTTCATCGATGATAAGGATCGATGATGCATATTGATCGGAAATAAATGCCGCTGCTTTTTTTCCTCGCCTATTCGTAATAACTATTCGGTTTGTCGCCCGAAGCGACCTCGTCTTCGCTCTTCAAGGTGCGGATAATTGCACGCGCGCGAAGGAGCGCGGCCCTATCTCTGTCTAATCAGTCATAGATCGTGGCCCGATGCGCGTGTACACGCGCTCCGCTCCGGCGATCGTCACGCTATTGGACGTGTTGCTGCTCGCCCGGAGGGAAAAAGAGGACTCGGGGGTGGAAGCGAGAGAGAGAAGACGGAAGGGGAAAGAGAGAGAGAGAGAGAGGGAGGGTGCAGTGAGTAACCACCGAAGTTAGTCGTCGCGAGCGAGCGAGCGAGAGAGGAAGACGAGGCTTATCGAGGCAAGGTTAAAGAGAGAGAAAGAGGGACCATTAACCGTTGGCCGTTGACCTCCCGGTCGGCGTGGGGGAGGGGATGCACGAGGTGGTGGAAGAAAGGAGGCCACTGAAGTGGGGATCGGCCGACCGATCGATCCTTCGCGCGTCTCAGAACTGTGCTGGCGATCGCCAGGTGATGAATGGTCAGGCTTGTCGATCGATGGATGGCTCCGGAGCGATTTGTAATTAACACGCTTCCGCGATTCTTCTGAGAGTTCCGGAGGGTCGTTGGCCCTCCCCGTCTGCGAGACGCTCGCGGTGGAAAACCCTCGGCGGGTTAATCGTTTATTTTTGTTCTCTTTGTCGCAGCGTGCTATTTTTCCCGATATAGTAAGCATCGCTATGTAATTTTTTTTCATCGTTGAATTATAATTTTCCGTATGTCGTTATTTTATCCGAACAATTTACGATGAAATTGAATCGTCGATTCGCGTCGAATCGCGTCCACACAAAATCCAATCCGATAATTCTAAATAAGCGGTAATTAGGATAATCATGAAATACGATCTCGACTTGGTCACGACGAGATAATGAGATCGTGTACTCGCGTTCGAGTCGCGAAAGCCGCGTGACATTTTCGATGGGAAAACCGCGCGCGCTTGCATCGTGCGATACCGTTCCGGCGTTGTTGAGATCGCGCCACGCGATCCCGTGTCCGATCTGTCGCGAGCGGACGGGAACGGGTCATGTTGATTTTAATGAGATCGTATGCGCCGGCCACGGTTCGCCGAAGCGGGCATCCGCTTCTCTCTTTCTCTCGCTCGGTCTCTCGCCCGGAATCCAGACGAATCGTCAATATCGATTTCCTGCTGTTCATACGTTTGTGTGATTCGACGGTGCACGAGATTCAATCCCCGGCTCTTGTGCGACAGCAGTTGCGTCACCTCGGCGATATTTGTACGGTACGTATAACGGGAAAACGGCCAACAAGAGCATTCTTAAAAAACATCGAAAGCCACGCGTTGAGCGTACATCAAATACGGCACAATGTGTGTTTAAGAGTTTGAATTGAACCGCGATAACGCATTATCTCTTATCAGTCCTGCACGAATGTTCTCCATTTATCCATCGCGTTGCGTAAAGACAGATGTTATTTACTTTCGAGGTCACTCGTACATAGATTAGCCGCTAAAAACTACTCACGTAAAAAAAAAAACATTACAAGCCGCTTAATATGAGCGGCAGTCATCAGGCGTTCCAACGAGGTCGGAACACGCCTCGTGATCTCCCGTTTAATTTTGCTTACGCAACTGTGTAGACGCGATTAGCAGTTTTTGCTGCACGCGTATTTGATTCGGTCGAGATGCTATTCCGCCGCGGGCGAATTAAATTAATTTGCGTTACGGATCGTTTGTTATTCAATCTTTTTGTGCGCCGTACGTATATCGTTAGTTGTATAAAGCGTAAATTATTATCACTGCTGACTACTAGACTAATTGCATCGAGTGAATTTGCTATATTTCTTCGATATCTTTATTTATATTTTCAAGAGCGGAGTCTTGAAAAATAGAGAGAGAGAGAGAGAGAGAGAGAGAGAGAGAGAGAAGTTAAAATCGTAAAATGAGTCATATACGTAAAAACGGTATCTTCTCTATCACGATTTTAACTCGTAAAATCCGATTCCATGAATGTTAATTAAAACATTTGATTAATCTCATTTATTTGATATTTTTGCGGATGTCGAAATTGCGAAACTTCTCGCGTACCGAAATACAATACATTTTGTCGGCCGCTTACGAAAACCGATCGCATCGAGTGAATTGCTATCGTATTTCTTCGATATCTCCATTTCTATTTTCAAAGATTATTACAGCGGAGATCGGCAAAATAGAGAGAGCAGTTAGTAAAGTTATAAAATGAGTCGTGCGTTAGAACGATGATTTCTCTATCACGATTTCAACTCGTAAAATTTGATTCTATAAATGTTAATTAAAATTTTGATTAATTTTATTTATTCAATATTTTTGCGCATGTCGAAATCGAGCGGTTTCTCGCATATGGAAATACGTTTCGTCGGTAGACTTCGAATTAGAAAAAAAAAAAGAAAAAAAAGATAGGCCTCGCAGGCAGGTATATATAGTTACATGAACAGAGACATGACGCATGAAAAACTAGTAGTCAGCCACGTCAGCCGGCTTAGCCTATATCGATTGGCGGTTCACGTCGGGTCGCACGCTTTTACGAGATTTGCCTCTACAGATGCGAGAAAAATCAAACGTTCCAGATTTGATTCTCGCGACGGATGAGGGCGCGATTCGCGACGCGTCGGGCACACGCATCGAGATAGAGCCGAACAATATCGCTGTTAAATATGCAACATGTGTGCCATGTTGCTCCTCCTCGCGTGCATTTCGTTCGCACTAATTGCTTCGCTCGCCAGGCAACCGTGCAAAACTCTTGGAGTTTTTGCTCCGGATGTATTTATCAACTTTGTGAAAGCACACATGTGCAATAGCATATCTTTCCGTTCGTACTCTGCTACAACTTTTTTTTTTGTTGCAACAATTACGCCGACGTCACTGGCCCCCGGCGATAGCGGCTATTATCGAATTGTCAATAATTCGCGCGAGTATCGCGGCGAACGGTCAGCAAAGTGGAACGCGTAGCAACAACCTGTCGTGCGTTCACCGTACGTCATTATTGGGCCGGCGACCCGATCGGGCGTTCATCTCCGTCTTTTTATACGACAAAACGTCTCGGCCGGTTTGTAGCACGGCCGGTTTTCCGGCATAGAAGACTAACGTGCGCATCTCGATAATTAACGCGCCCCATCGCTTGTGCGATTCGCCGATAGCGATTAAAGTCCGCTGTGAAAATCGCGCCGCTTCGTCAAACAAAACGTCGACCTGCTTTCAGCCGCTGGACAATCATATTTTATTATACGCTCGCTCGTTAGATCACCCGTGATGATTCGAGTCGATCGATTTGTTCGGGAAAGCGATTAAATTGGATTTTCACGAGTTCGATGCTTCGTCGACCGCAATTAGGACGCGAGCTGGATCTCCCGATTGAAATCTAAAAAAAAAACACATAAAGTATTAACTTGAGATTAGTCATCGCTCATTTTTCCATGTAAGTCTCTTGAATTCGACACGGTCCGTTTGCCGATAGCCGTGATCGAGCGTGTCGTCTAACGTGCCGAAAATCACGCCATAGAACGCGCCACGCTTGTTAAGCAACCAGTTACGTTCGCCCTCCGTGTCCGAGTCTTGCGAAATTGTCTTGTAAATAATGACTGGCTTTCGAAATCTCGAATGTCAATGAGACTAGGATGGACGCTGCTTTCGTGTCGAAATAAAATCCGGAGGAGACCTTGCACCGTCAGCTAGTATTTCAATAACATTATTTTACATAATAACGTGCAATCATCGGCGATAGCGATCGCATAATAAATTTCGCGTTATCTAAGGTTTGAAATGTCTTAGACATTTGCTCTCTTCGTTAGAAATCATTGGACGAGTGATGTTCGTAAGTGACAAGAGGAAGAACGGACGGCCTCGGCGTAAATGTCGAGGCGTCGATTATATTGACATTTATCATCGGACGAAAATCGGAAAATCTAAGCGTATTAAACTTCCATGGCGTCCTAGAACCTTACCTTCGTCCCCGCATTGATTAATTGGATTCGTAAAGGCCGTAGCGGCGAGGTTGAACGCGCTTGGAAACAAGGGGTGAGGTGAGCCGAGAGCAGCTAGTCGCCCCGTTATCTTTAACCTGGGAATTTTTCATAAAGCCGACCTACATACCTTACTCGCGCCCGGTATCGCCAGTTTAAGAGGCATTGATCTGTTCCTGATAACGCTAGCCGTGTGTACAGGCGCATAGAAAATGCACGATCGTCTGTCTGGCAGACCGAGAAATTGTCGTCGTTCGCAGAAAGGCGGCCGTAATGCGTTGGCCTTGGATTCCTTTACGTTTATACGATTTTTTCCATTTCGCGACTTCGAACGCGACTAGAACGCAACCTCGCGCACGATTGTTTACGGCGCGCTGCGCAATGAATTCGATGTTATATCATTGAATATGACGCCGTATTTAGTCGGCGTTGCGTTCAATATTTGCGTTATTATCGCGTTTAATATTTGCCCGAGAGAGAGAAAGAAAAACAAAACATTTTGAAACTTTCTGCGAAACGTTCAGTTAACAGTGTTTCAGTTTATTGGGTTTACTTTCAGGAGCGCAGTGTAATACGATTCCGGAAGTCATTACCAGGCGAGGTTTCACCGGATGGCGGTGGAACACGCGTACAACGGGAGGTGGGTTACGCCAGGAACATGGTTTCCTGTTTTTTGGGCTCTTACATGCAGATCCCCGAAATCGTGAGCTACGATGCAGCCGATATAGCCAAATTGTCGGACGTCATCCGTCCCCTCCGGCCAGGTAAATTGTTTTTTTCCTTCATACATATTTTATTTTTCTCCGTATTTATGTATTCAATTCTCACGATATGTTTTTAATTAAATTAATATTCCGAATAAACGGACTGTGCAAGGCCAATGCTGGGTTTTAGCACTTTTCCGTTTTTAACCTTGTTTATTTGTTGACACAAACGTTTCTCGGACACCGCGCGGCCTCAAAATCGAGTCTTATATTATCCTGTATTGATTTCTAATATCTTTCGCGCGCTGACGATCGCGCTTGATTTTTGCAGCCCTTTTTTTGCGAATAAAACACTTTTGCGGGAATCGTATAATTTTTCGCGACCTTCGATCACGCTTTGTTATTTTTATTCGATTGCGCTCGATTATCGGGGATACCTCGTGCATCACTTTCTCCGGATAGAATGTAGATTTTCAATATTTATGTACAATCACGCTGTTCGCGAAAGGAACACGAACAGGTGCTGGCTGATCGTAACTAGTTTCGATCGTGCCGTCTTCTTCTCGTTTTTATTAAGGTAGCCGCCGACTTATTCTTCGCCGGCGTACACCTGCCGCCTTATTTTTCGACGTTCCGGACGAATAACGATCTCCGCGCGTCCGAAGCCTCCCGGGACACCGAGTTTCTCGTGCATGCGAGGAGCCTTGAGCTGAAATTTCATCGATTTCGCCGGAATATTGTGAAGAAGAGACGATCCGGTTACGACTTGTTCTCTTCATTCTTTTTCTCATACTACCGATCGATAGTTACAATGTTACAGATGTAAAAAAAAGAGCTGTGTCTATCTCAATTAATCGATTCCACTTAATAACATTCAAAGATTCGTGACGCTCATGGACGTCCCATCGTTCGACGACTTAAATTAACTTTCAAATCCGCGAAGCACATTTTCGCAAATTAGCCTAGTTGGGATTGCAACGATCCAGAATAGCTATTTTTGCTCGTTGCAAAAGTCACGAGTTGAGTAGCCATTAAACGCCGCGAGAATACTATCCGCGATTATTTATTCGAGCGCAAACAAGCAGGAAAATTTATATATTTTTATGCAGTAAAACAATACGACACTTGATTGACGTACGCGGCACTTGTGTTCCTTCGCACGGCTCTTTAACAGGCCGAGAGGTAAAAGCAATATCGTGATGTATTACATTAAAACGCGGGAGGGGAATTAGACATCGCTCGCGTCACTCGTAATCACAACAGCGAGAATTATATTGACATTTTATTTCGCCGCGACGACAACTTTCTACTCGATGGAGCGCGCTCGTCGCGCGAACCGATCTCTCGTAAATGCGGCGTGGGCGGCGAGATATGGAAATCGGCTTCTTTCGATTCGAAAGCGATTCGGCGCCGCGATTAAAACCGCCTTTTATTACTACTGTGCCTCGCGTGCGACGGAGCGTTGTGCGCGCCCGCGAATTTTTACGATTTAACAACGCTCGGCGTTGAGTGAAAATTGCGCGTTGTGTCTATACGTTAAGCGCAATTAACGCTAATTAAACGAGCGCGGGATCCCTCGAGGAGAGCGAGGGACACCGCTTTCCCATCGTGCTGCGCGACGCAGAGACCCGGGCGATCAATAGTAAACAAAGACATTTCAGCCAAATGTCGCGTGCGCGCGGCCACGATGCCGGGCGCTTTTTCGTTTTCCAGCGGGAATAAAGAGTGTCACGTCCGCCCTGGGCGGACTGAATTTACGACGCGCAGGCGACCCACACTCACCGCCCGCAGCTGTGCACTCTCGAAAAGATGACGTCGCCAGACGAGAAGCGTCCTCGAGACGACGTTAAAGCCGGCATGCGTCGCGCGACCGTGTCGTTGGTTTCAGTTGCTGTTTCTGTCCCTTTTTCAGTTTTTTTTTCCTCTCTCCGGTCCCTTTTCAGAAATATATCCCACACGAGCTGCTGCCGGGTTGGATTACATTTCTCAACTTAACGTGGAGTTCCACGCGTAAGATTCTCGACTTCTGAGAAAAATCTGAATCCTAGCGGATCTCGCTCGACACGCTAGTCGCGGCGTTCACACGTTCTTAAGTACCTATACGCGCCATCAGTCATTCCTACGAAAAGGCCGCGACCCCGAGTGACTGTCGATCGCTTCTTTGAAGAAGCCAATGCGCGCGTGAGGTCATTTAAACATCACGAGATCCGCCAGGATCATTGATTCAAACGAAGGTTCTACGCGAAGGCGTTAAATAAAATTCTGCATTAATTTGTAATATCCTTCGCGTTCCAACACTTGCGTTTTGGAGCCTTTTTTCTGGTTTTCTTTAAATAACACCTCACTGAGAGATGAGAATGTATTTTTTTTTCTGGTTTACGCGACGTACGTGCTGTAATCGTCGTCGAGTCGGTAAAATTTCTCTATCTCAAGGGAAAACTCGAGCAATACGAGCGAAAAGAAAAGGCGAAGAAATGCGAAACGGGCCTTATCTCGATTTTATTATTTTTGACAGAGTATCAATTAACAGATATTAATTAAAAAACAGAATCTCGTAAAAACAAAACGCCGGCGCGTATATTAGAACTAACATCCGTCGGAGAGCCGGCAACGTTGCCGAGACGCGGTTATTATAGTAATTAGAAGGAGAAAACTGCGCAAACGAGTTAATTGATACCCGCGCGATATAGATACTTTTCACTGTCGTGCAAATACGAGGTTATAAGCCGCGCGATAACAAGCGTTTCTTAATCTTTCGGAGCACATTTTTATCATTCTCGACTATTTTTGCGTTTGCTTATATAACATCTACGGAAAAGTAGGAAATTATTTTTGTATCTGCGGCCAATCGGCGAGTCGCCACTCGACACAAATTGTCGCGATCGCTTGTCGCAAAAACAGCGCTTATTCCTTACGACGCGATCCTGCGAACACGAGTGAAAAGGATAATAAAATACTGCACTTGATCTTCCGCTGATGCTTAGCGCTTCACGGAGGAGGTCCCGCCTCGAGGAGATAAAACGATATGATTTATTTTCTATTTACGTTTGATTATGCAGCGAAAGCCGGCGACATTTGCATACGTCCCCATCTTTCTCCCATCTTACAGTTTTTTAATTTTCTTTTTCCCACGCGAAAGGTCGAAACCAGATCTTTGACGCACATGTGCGCGGCACCACGTGACTATTCGACAGCGAGGCTGTGCGAGGCTGTTCTCCTCGCGGCATTAAAAAATGGAAAGCTTTCAGAGAGAATTACGTCGGTGACTAGCATTAATAAATAACAGAGTCTTATTCTTCAATTAATTTGAAACGCGCTAGAAGGTACGCCCACGAGCGTCCGCTCGACGAGGGAAACCACCTCTCGTCCCGTGTGGATTTCTAGCCTCCTCCCCTTCCCGCCTATCCTAGAAAGAATGCGCGGCGTGCTCGAGAGCATTTATTACACGCGCGCGCGCACACAATGAAAGTGCGAGATCGCGGCCACGCGATCCGCGCCGCGCGGGGATTTATTTTTGAATAATGCAGCGACGTTTATCATCCGCTATCGGCGAGAAGGAGATCCGCCCATTGTATGCAACGCCGCGGTAATTTCGTTCCGTGGAACCGGAATCTTCCCTTTTCCCTTTCGATGCGCGATCGCCGCCCCGAGCGCGATCGTCGTCCCTCGCGTCCTTATCGGATCCTATCAGTCGCGCGAGATAATGCGGCGAGATAACTTCGAAGCGTTAAGCGATCCTTCTTCAATATAGATTTCGATTAGCGTCGCGGGAGAAAAAGCAATAAACGCGATAGGATAGAAGTGAACAGAATCGCGCGTATTTCACATTAAGTCGTGCGTTTTCGCGCTTTAGACGCGGAATCATCGTTCACGCGTGAACTTTTGATATTCGTATGCGTACACGCGAGCGTCGACCGTTTATGCAGACATCCGAAACACGACGGAGGGAGCGTCGGGTGTTTTCCACCGGAAATGCGTTTGACAGACTTTGTGAAGCGAAGGCTGCCGGTGGAACCCTTCGCAAGGTGGGTGGGCGGTGTGCGCACGCAGACAGGATGTACGCGCGGCTGCATCCGAGGGTTGCTGGGAAGAGATGATAATCGGAACGGTCTTGATTCCTCGCTCGCCGCGTAACGCGCGCACCAACTAATCCCCGTTCTTACATTAATTAACGAAACGAAGATTAACGTCTTAACCGTGGCGTCGCGGATGAGATGCGCTGTCATGTGAAACGCAGCCTCGCAATCTCCGCGGTTCCGGCATCGTTCAGCTCTCGCGCGATGTGCAACGGTTTCCGTCGTCCAGTTGATCGAACGCCGTAAAACTTTGTGAAAAAACACGCGAAACGCGCGCGATTCCGCTTCCGGTCGTCTGCGCTCACACTTATCCGGACAAATCTATATTTATCTGTTTCTACCGGCCGCTATAGCGTATACGCCGGCCGAAAGTCCATCCGGCCTGATCTCTCGCGCCGCAGACGCAACAAGTGGTCGGCTCTTCCGCTTTTCTTTCCGCGAACTCGTCGATATTCTGACACGCTGGTACTTTCTCCTATAGCCGCGATTGAAAATAGAAGCTCTCCCTCCCGCCCCTCCCGCTCTCGTCGCATTTGATTGCAAAACGCGAGGGTAAAATGACGCAGTGTGTGCGCGCCGATGGGAAATATCTTGCGAGAAGAATGGCTGCGCGTAGAAGGAATTCTACTCGGCCGGAGATAGTGTTCTGACCATTTCGAGAGATATCGTTGCAAAAACGTGGCTAATTATTGTACTTGCTGACGCATAACGTGTAATTTCTTACTTGGGGGAGGGGAAAAGTGCTCCAACAGCCAAATGATATTTAGCAAAATAAGCATTTTTATTGCGATTCATATCTAATTTTTCCCACCGCGCGGAAATGCAAAATTCAATAACGTCCCGCGCGATCTCCATTTTAGATAGTATATATATCAACGGCGCATATAAATAATTCACAGCGAGCACGGCGAATTTTACTCGGTTTTCACGTCCTTCCGCGACTAATGTATCGAAAATCGATTATAATCGCATTCGCTGTTGCGCTCCTCTTATGGATATGTAGAAATTTAATACTACGCAAAATACGTCAAGTGTCCTCCCCCCACCTCCCCCCCACCCCCCAATAACGTAATATCTTTCGGAATATTGTCCCGGGGTTATCGTACACGCGAGCGCCTTTGTACACATTGTGAAATTTCGCGCGGCTGTCGATATTTTTATTTAAAAGCCGCGTCACAGGCGGGAACGCGCGTTATCTCCGGCGATATTGCGCACTCCCGCGATATGGCGGTATCGATTTCCTGTCGCGGCGTGCGTTGTAAGCACGCTCCCGTGCGTGTTATTACCGAACGTGGAAATGACAAAAATCCGCCGCCGCTACGAGCCGCGCCGATAGTGGCAATTTCGCCGTCAATTTGATCGCCGGCGGAGTCATCCGCGCGTCATTTTCTCTAATAACACGCCAGATTGATCTAATGTAACCGTGCAAAACTGTATCACGCGTGCATCGTCAGCATGACACGCCCGGCTGTTTTCATCAATATCTAATTAGCAGCTAGATTGAAGATAGCCGGCGTTTTATCATTCTCGATAAAATGCGCAAAAGAAGAACGACTTACGCAATTTCCGGCGTGTTCGTTTCGACTTGTTTTAAAAACTATACAATACTGATAGTGTTTCAACTAATCTTCAATCTTTCTCGATGAGGTGATATAAAAATATACTAGGAAATAATTTTCCGAAAGACTCGAAACAATAATGTTCATCGTCATAATGTTTTCGTCATTTTAATATTGAAATTCGCGTCTTCATTCGTCCTATTAATACAAGCTTACACTTGTTGCAACCTCTTGTGAAATTTTTCTCTTTCTCTTTTCTCTTTTCGATCGCTCAATGTCTCTCGTCTCTTCGAAGGTCCTCGATATTACCTATTTTCAGAGATGAACTCGCGTGAAGGCAAGCAGGATATTTTTGCAACTGAAACGGCCCCGTGTCGAACGTTTATTTTCAAGACTCGAACGAGGAATGTGTAAACAGAGACTGTGTAAACCTACTTTGCAACCAGACTCTGCATCGTCGCCGCCGCCGCCGCGGCGGAAATCTCCTTGTGCATTGCCGCCCGCAATAGAGTCTTGAAACTACAATGCAGAGTTCGATTTCTATGTCAATTTACATCTCTTTCGCTGAAATTTAAAATTGAAATAATGGAAGAAAACATTATAAAGACTTCAATCTGAGCAACAAAACACAATTGAAATTCGTAATCGTTTCAATATCACCGACTAGTTTATCTTCGACAAGCGATAATGAAAAACCGAGTTAATGACATTAACGCAGAAGTGTTATCTCGGCGTGAGAATATCTTGCGAGTGCGTTTCCGCGTCGAACGCTGATGTAGTATAATGTGAGTCCTCTCTTTATGCGCAGCTAGCAATAGTAACGTAAACTGGAGCGGACGTGGCGTAAAGTTAAACGCAAATAATTGATCGCAGTAATTGAGCTTTTTAACGCCAGTCGCACCTTAAAGAGATACAATTCGATAGTACAAGTAATGCGATGCGGGGATTTAGCGTTAACAGCTTGGCGAACGCTTTCTTCTGAAATCTCGTTGTAATCTGAATTGAATTAATAGATATGAAAGGCCGCTGTGCAAGATTGTTTGATATAGGTTTCAGAAAAAAGGTAGAAGTCGTGCTCACTCGCGATGAATCGAACACGCGACTTTCCCCTCGTCGAAGGGAGAAAGAAAAGACGCGCGAGAGCGATCCGCAACTTTGTGCGTGACGCGCAAAATTCGTAAGCGCGTGTGCTCGGCATTTAACGAAATTACCATACGTCATTATCCCTTGTCACGGGCCTCTCATTTCGCCAGTGTTCATCACGCGAAGAGAAATTTATGCCATCAAGTGCGCTTGATGGCGAAGTAACGCTTTATTGATTCCCGATAGGCGGAAAATAGACGAAAATTCATAGGCGAAAAATATGTGACAAGTTTTGAATATATAAAACCGCCCCCTGTGCATATTTAAAATTCGATTTTCTGTTCCGACGGCGAGAGAAAATTTTTCAATATTATTTTTCAATTCGTCCTTCTTTCTCTCTTCCGTTGGCTTCGCAACTCGGTGTTAATTGGAATTTATTTATCGCGGTGATTAAGAGGCCTTTCGTTTCGAGTGCGCGTGCAGTACCGAAATTACGTAGATTTTTTTTTAAGCGTTCGAAACTTGTGATATAATTACATGGCTTATATTCGGCCGTTAAACATCTCTCGGGGAGATACACGAATGACTAATGGAGCGCATCCAATTTCGGGATACCGCTCGAACGGATAAGCGAGATAGCAACGAAGCAAACTTCTGTTTGACATGTTTAATCGCGAACGGTATCTTATGGCCGCACGTTGGACGGAGGCGAACGAGACGCGGAGGGAAAGTTCAACCGTTAATTTATGCTACTTCGATTAACGATTGTCTCGCAATCACCGGTGAAAGATTGCGCGCTGTTTAGAACGCCACGTCGCGGCGCCGTACAGCTCTTATCTTGACACTCATCGAGTGTCTTTTTTTTATCTAAGCGATTTAATGACACTTTCCCTGTAGCTTCTCGGAATATCGCCTTAGAATATTTCTAAATAATATTCATGACATTATATTATCATCGTTATGACTGACATTTGTAAAATAGACGATAATTATGCAGAGAAACATAAATATTTCAATTGCTTATTCTTTTAACATTTTGAAAGCGTTTTAAGAAAGATTATATCTTTGTTAATCATTATTGCACTTATCGCAACTTTAAAATTCTTTTTCCTTTTTTTTTCTAATTATATTGCTGTAATGCGAGAAAATTCTTTCGGCGACTATATTTACATTCCTATTTAACAAACAGTTAATGTATTATTCGCTGAAGTAATCGTTTGCTCTCGACGTCGCGGCGGCTCTCGTGAATTTCTTCTATTTCAGGACCACCACACGTGAATCGCGAGAATATTTCACGCCTACGCAGTGTTTTCGGTACCCTTTGGAATAATTCAATGAGGGAGGCTTATTTTAGAACAATCGCTTTTTATGTCTGTATTTATAAACTTATCTCGAGATAACTATATATCGTTGAATTGAAGACCGTAATCGGACGACTGAGATAATTCAGAATTCGAAACTCGACTGTTTTGAGAGATATCACAAATTGTTTATTGAGAATATATTTAAAAATAGTATGTATTATTCAATCTTACATTTAATCTTGTATTGCAGCGGAACGCCGGCACAAGGAAACCACAGATACGTACGCCACCAAGTTTCCGGATTACACATTTCTGGATTTGCGGTTGGAGTTTGATCAAACCGTCTTCCGGAGCCGTTCGACGTTTTGCGTGGAAATAAAGCCGAAGCAGGGATACGTGCAAAAGGCGGAGCAGAGAATCCCCCGATGCCCGTATTGTCTCAACCAGTACGCCAAGGTATTAATACATATATAATAATACATACATATATAATACAGTAGCATTGATTTGTCCAGTGAATCCATGCAGTTGCAAAAAATAATATGCGAAACTCTGTAACTTACAATATCATAATTAAAATATTCAAAATATAATGTTAAAAATCCAAATATATAAAATATATTTAAATTTTTCAGCTGCGGAAGAAGAACATCGCCGCCCGCAGCAATTATTGTCCGTTGGACTTATTTTCTGGAGTGGAAGCGCGCATGAAAACCGCCGTGGAGGAACTTCTAAGATCGCCGCAGAACAATTTGAAGATCTTTAAGGACGGCTTCGTTGTCTACGATCAGGCGTCTTCGTCGGACGATCTCGAGAGCGTGCTGAACGAATGGTTTCGGAATGCGGCGGCGACGAGCAGCAGCGTGCGGACTCGTCGCATCGATGAGTTCTGCAATTTGGTATGCGCCGCCCTTACGCGTCCTTTCGCCCAAGAGCAGCTGGAACGGCTCGCCGCCGCCCATCCACGTAATTTTCTCCTACCTTCGAATCAAGTTCCGACGTTCTGCGCCGAACCGGGCGTGGTAGCAAGAGCGGAACGGTGCCTTCGCTTCGCGGAAAAGGTAAAATCTGCTTTTAAAAACGTATTATTTTCAAAGAATTAAATTATAATTGTCGCCTCTATTAACTGTCGTTTTTTTTTCGCTTTGCAGAGCTGCAATTTCGATGGCGACGAGTTGCCGGAAGACTCGGTGCTGGGACGAATTTGGAATATGCAGCGGCTGTCTTACATCAATACTAATTACATTTACAACATTTACTCCAAGTTTGCATCGTTACTGGATGATGATATGATATACTCCGACTTGACGAGATTCGACGAAGCTCGCGCTGGCACTGTTGTTTTATCAGCTAATCACACAGTACGTAATATTGTATTAATAATCGGTGTTTGTAAAATTCGGAGTCGATCGATATGAACATAAATAATATTTGTGTTTCTTTTTTGTTTTAGAACGCAGTCATCCAAAAGACGGCCATAGAAGAAGTACATTTTCAAAAGCTTCTTGAGGACACCGACGTGATGACGAAATACAGCGACGATCTGAATGGAAATCATGGCGGTTCAGAGTGTATCTTATCTGCTAATGTCGACAGAACGATCGTAAATGGCAGTTTCGCATCGCAAACAGAAATTAGTCTCAACGATTCGCGCCGACCATTTTATGTAAATAGGAGTCTGCATAATCAGGAAGCCAACGACGACGGTGATGAACGAAAGGCAAACACGCGGATCACCGCCGAACATTTGTCGGCGTTGCAAAATTACCTTTTATTTGCCATAGCCAGAGATTGTTCGATATTAATGAGCTTCCGCGAATTGCATCCGTAAGTGCATTGTTCGAGACAATGGCTCGTATTTTCACCGCACGCTTTCAAAGCACTGAGAATGATTTTTTTTAACAGAGGCAAAATTGGTAATAAAATTGATTTAATATAATAGTTCTGTGTGAGGAAGAGAATTTTCCAGGTAGTTATTGTCCAAGTCGTATAATTATCCAATTATAATTGGTATTGTATAATATATTTAATAATGAATTCGGAAAACACGACACGCAAATCATTCTTTTCAGCTCTAAATGTTCACTAAGCATTATTATCGTTATCACATTAAATGCTCTTTAGATAAAATTATATTCTAATACTTGTGATGTTTTTCTTGCAGGGAAAACGTAACAAAAGTGCCAGAGGAAAATACAATTAAACTTTCGGAGCAGCTGTATTTTCTAAGCAGCGTCAAAGTCTCCGATTTGGACTCGAAAAGTGTTCACTCCATTAAGAAGCATCGACAACGAGACGTGGATATTTTTGATTCTGTAATTTCTTTATTGGAAGACAATATTTTTGCGGAGAATAGATGATTGTCCGAGAAACGATGCCCGTAGCGATACAGTATTTGATATACGATAAAACTCTATTTAGGAAAGAAAGTATACGTGCACTTAATTGGTAATATGCTTATTGATATGCGTACTGACTTCTTGTACAAAACTATTTGTATAGTCTTTGTGTGAATGTGGAAAAAATATTGATGCTATCGTTCATCAATTAGTGTGTTAAATGAAAAATTTGCTTCTATATGAATAATATGCTGGATTATACTAGATGTTCAACGAACAAACATATCTTATATGCTATGAAATTTATATTTGACTTTAATGGCTATAAATTTTTTATATATATATATATATATATATATATATATATATATATATAT